CAGAAAAAGGAACCACTGCATGGTTTTAAATCAAGAAGGGAGTGTGTCAGAGTTGTATCCTTTCACCATACTTTTTCAGTCTGTATGCTGAGCAAATAATCTGAGAGGCTGGACTATATGAAGAACAACGTGGCATCAGGATTGGAGGAAGAATCAATAACAACCTGCAATACGCTGACGACACAACTTTGCTCGCTGAAAGTGAGGATGACTCAAAGTCCTTACTGATGAAGATTCCAAGTATACAGTCTGCAGTATTGATTACATCTCAATACAAAGAAAACAAAAATCCTCACAGATGGGCCTATAAGCTGCATCACAATAAATGGAGAAAAGATTGAAATTGTCAAAGACTTCACATTGCTTGGTTCTACAATCAACGCCAATGGAAGCAGCATTCAAGACATCAGACAATGTATAGCACTGGGCAAATTGGCTGCAAAGGATCTCTTTCAAGTGCTGAAAAGCAAAATGTCTCCTTGAGGACTAAGGAAAAAAAAAAAAAAGAGGGGAAGGCCCTCAACGAGATGGATTGACTTGGTGGTAGCAGTGATGGGCTCAAGTATAGCAAGAATCATGGAGTTGGCTGAGGACAGGGAGGTGTTTTCTTCTGCTGTGCATAGGGTCACTGTGTTGGAGACAACTGGATGGCACCTAACAACAACAATATTCAACATCATATTTTCACTCTTGTGGACTTGATTTAACTGTCTTTTACTTCAAGTTGAACTTGCATATGAGTAGTTGATGGTCTGTTCCACAATCAGCTCCTGGCCTGGTTTTGGTTGAAGATATTGAGCTTTTCCACCGCCTCTTGACACAGATGTAGTCAGTCTAATTCCTGTGTATTCCATATGGTGATGTCCATGTGTATAGCCACCATTTGTGTTATTGAAAAAAGGTATTTGCAATGAATAAGTTGTTGGTATTGCAAAATTCTGTCATCCAATTTCCAGCATCATTTCTGTCATCAAGGCCAAATTTTCCAACTACTCATGATTCTTCTTTATTTCCAACTTTTTCATTCCAGTCACCAGTGATAATTAACACATCCTAATTGCATGTTCGGTCAATTTCAAACTGCAGAAGATGACAAAAATCTTCAATTTCCTCATCTTTGGCTTTGGTGGTTGGTGCATAAATTTGAATTATAGTTATATTAACTGGTCTTCCTTGTTGGTGTATGGATATTTCCTATCACTGACAGCACTGTGCTTCAGGGTAGATCTTAAAACATCCTTTGTGGTGATGAATGCCACACCATTCCTCTTTAAACTGTCATTCCCGGCATAGTAGATCATATGGTTGTCTGATTCAAAAGGCCAAAACCAGTCCATTTCAGTTCACTAATACCTAGGAGATCAATCTTTATGCACTCCACTTCTTTTTTGACAACTTCCAGTTTTCCTAGATTCATGCTTTGTACGTTCCATGTTCTGATTATTAATGGGTGCTTGCAGCTGTTTCTCAACTTAAGTCATGCCATGTCAGCAAATGGAGGTCTCGAAAGCTTTACCTTATCCATATCAGTAAGGCTGGTTCTACTCTGATGATGCAACTCTTTCCTGGTCCTATTTTGAGAGCCTTCCGACCTAAGTGGCTTATCCTCCTGCACTGTATCAGACAATGTTTCCAGGCTATTCATAAAGTTGCACAGTAATGTATCAGACAGTGTTTCTCTGCTATTCATAAGGTTTTCCCTGGCCAATTCTTTGAGAAGTGGATGGCCTCCTCCTTCTTCCTAGTCTGTCTCAGTCTGAAGTTGTTGAAACCTGTGCATCATGCACAACCCTATTGGGTTTGAGACACTGGTGGTACAGCCTCAATCCTCACAGCAACATGCCACCACAATAGGACAAACTGACAGACAAGTTGGTCTCCCTTAGCTGTTCAAAACTTCTCCCCTTACACAGATCCCTGGCTCTTTCCTGCTGCTTGGGAGGGGTGTGGCCTGTGTCCCTGGCCTTATCTGGATCCATGTATCTGCTTCCTTCCTCTGTCCTGGTCCCCTCCCCCCCCTTTTTGTCTGCATTCCCTGGTTTTCCCCCCACTTGGAAGGGCCTTGGCCTGGGTCCTCTGGTCCTTGGCTTCTCAGCCTTACCTGGATCCCTGCCTCTGCTTCCTTGCTCTGTCCTGGTCCCCACCCCACCCCACCGCCCCTACCCCCCCACCTCTCCCACCCCCCCACCCCCGACTTTTTCTCTGCTTTCCTGCCACTTGGTAGGGGCGTGGCCTGGGACCTGGCCTTATCTGGATCCCTGCCTGTGCTTCCTGGTCCAGGGGAAACAGTACTCCTTTGAGGGCAGGACTTTCCCTGAGAAAGATTCCGAGAAGTGGAGTAATTGCTAATGCTTTGGATGTGTCTAAAAAGGTGCTTCCTTTATAAGTACATACCTGTTAGCAGACAGAGCCTAACACAGACACGCCACTCAACATTCTCTCAAACACCTCCATTCTGATCTGTCATCCTCTCTTGTTTTGGACTTGGGAAACGAGCTATGGGCCCCTCAGTAGGCTTTTCTCGGGAGGCAAAATCATGACCATTGCTCAGGGTTGCTGAGCATCCAGTAGGTTGCAAAGGTATTGCATCTGGCCTAGTATTAATTATATAGCATGTATACTTTTGCTTTCCCCTTTCATGTGAAAATTCTCCAGTAAATGGGTTTGACCCTAACTATGCACACTTTTCATCACATAGTAGCTGGGTATACTTCTCTTTCAATATTTATCTTATTTCCTTCTATACATTGCCATGTATTTATTGGTAGTCTCTTTTTTAAAAACTCCTTTATGACTGGGACTATTTCTTCACCTTTGAACCTCTGCATTTCATACTCTAACTGAAGCAGATTTTTCATTGCTATTTATTACATTAATCAGTTGTATTTCTTTTAAGTTACAGTATTAAAATACATTTCAATAGCAAAATAGTACATGTGTGGGAAAATTATGGTATTTTTAACAAATAGAACCAAAGAATATAAATAAACATGATACATTTAACAAAAAAGTAGAACAGTATCTCCTACACAAAGAAATTCTTTGAAGTCTAAGAAAAACAAAACATAAAACCTTACATCGGAGTGAGGACTCATTTGTTACTTCTTGCTTTGCACACTTGACACCATGCATTTTAATTCAGTTTCCTTTATGCTGTATTATACAAACAAAACAAAATACATTTAAAGCTTAGTTTTAATATGCAAAATTTAGTAATTTTTAAGTATTGGGTGTTTAGATAACCAAAGAAACTTATTTGAACATGCTATCCCTTTGGACTGAAAAAGCAGTGTTATAACTGAGCATTGCACCATGATTTTTTTTTTTTTTTTTCAGATTCTTCCACTTCTTTGTCTCTCTTCAAACTTCTATCTAAATCATCTATTTTCACAAAGGCAATAGAACAGGCTAGAATCATTATGAGTTCTGGACACCAGTATCTCATTCCCCTGTATCAGTCTAGTTTGAAAACGTTGTATAACACATTATTATATATTTCTTTTAGGGTTACTCCCTCAACTGGTGACAGAAGTGGCTCAGTTGCAGGGTGCTTAATGATCTCAGGAAAAGGTGATTCTTACATCTCTTCAGCCAAAACTACAGCTAACTCTTCTGGGGAAGGTCTAGCGTAACACACTCTCCTTGAAAAGTCTCTTTCAGTCTGTTTGGAGAAATGTCATGTGAGAATAACATAGTGCTTACAAGTGCTTGACTGTTGGTATCTAGGGCACTGGTAGTTCAGGTTCACTGGTTGAATTCTCGCCTTCTATGCAGGACATGGAAGCTCTGGTAGCATAGTGTCTAAGGCATTTGACTGCTAACCAGAAGACTGGCGGTTCGAACCCACCAGCCACTCCTCAGAAGGAAGGTTGGGCAATCTACTTCCGTAGTAATACTGCCTTGGAAACCCAAGGAGGGGTCTCTATGAGTCAGATCCGACTCAACAGCAGTGAGTTTGGTTTTTGGTTTATGCAGGACATGGATTTGAGTCCTGGTCAATGCACCATGTACACAGCCACCACTCCTCTGTCCATGGAGGCTGGTGTGTTGCTATGATGATGAACAAGTATCAGTGGGGCTTCCAGGCTAAGACAGACTAGAAAGAGAGGTCTGAAATGTACTTCCAAATCCACAACACATGACAGGGATGATAAAGGGCCAGACAGCATTTAATTCCATTGTGCATGGGGTCACCATGAGTTGAGAGCCGACTCAAGGACAGCTGATGACATTATTATCATTACTATTGAATTACAAGTTATCTGCTACTTCATTACGCTCACTTTAGTTCTCACTCTAGAACATTTCCTCCAAGACGATTAAGAAATCTTTTGAAAATTGTACCTGCATTTATCTTTATTTGTCCTACATAATTAATTGTCCACTGGATATTTAGTTCCCACAGAACATCATTAGAAGTGAAGGATCCACTAAATTCCTGAGCCTCTTAAAAAGAGAAAATAAATACGGCAAGTATTTTACAGTTTTTGGAAACTGCTTTTGTTTTTGTAACAAGAATAAAAAAGCAAAAAAAAAAAAAAAACTTTGAAGTTTATTCTCTCAACATACTTTCTGAAGAAATTAAGCCTCAAGTATGTAACCATTTATTTCCCTGTTGATAGTACAGCATTGATCATCGATGTCAGATGAATTGGCTGTAACACAGAATGGGGCTTCAGGCAACAAACGTCATCAAGCTTGGGGACCACATGTTTTATGTTCTAACAATGAACATATCTGGAAATGGTGGTTTAATTCATTTCATCAGAATGATGTTTGCTTTGGAATTTTCGGAGAGATGGCAACATCTTGGCAGGGCAGTAGTTTTCTGTGAATCAGCAAATGTGATATATTCTGAAAGGTCTCTATCAGCGTCTGCTTTGGTTTTGTTTTTAAAGAAAATTCCTTAGTCGGCATTCCTCTGAAGTCTGCTACTGACCACAGCATCAGGGAACATTCCACTCTGTGCCTGGGGCAGGGCCTCCTTGGTTAGGAAAGGTCTATTTAAAGATGAACGACTGAGACCGGATTGTGCCATTCCCTTGGTTTAGCTGTTTTCTTATTTGAGACTGTAATAAAGCACACACATGGTTGTTTATTATTTAGTGATTTTACGATATTTAACTCTGGCTTTTACCAAATATCAAACTAACCATTCTAATTAGTAAGAAACTATGCAAGTATCAATTAATTATCATGTGCCTTCTCCCCAGATTAATCTGGTTTTCTGTGTTTTTGTCAGGGGAAATATTGTAAAGTGGGTGCTAAAACACAGATTAGGAATTGACCTACGAGTTATGGTACATCAACATATTGTTTCTGGGTCATCATGAATTACCTCGAAAGCAACTAACAACAAATGGCATCCAGAAGTTGTCATAACTCACCAATTTCCAGCGTAATATCTTGATCCACTCATCAGCTTCTACTCCTGTCTTTGCACAGAGATAAAATGTTCTGAATGGAAATACCAGGCTGATAAGACAAAAGAAACAATTTAAGATACTCCAGATGGTTCGTTGCTTATACATATAATTGGTTGAACATTATCTAGAGTATCTAGAGTATCCCAAGGCAAAAAAGGAGTTGATGAACTGTTATAGATAAAACTATCCCTGTCAGCAAAATGCAGAAATGCTGAGGAAATTATAGATTCATATTACAGGCCAGATTTATATTCTCTTCAGGGAGCTCTGGTGGTGTAGTTCCTAAGGCATTTGACTGCGAGCCAGAAGGCTGATGGTCAAACCCACCAGCCACTCCTCAGAAGGAAGGTTGGGCAATCTACTTCTGTAGTGGTATCACCTTGGAAACCCAAGGAGGGGTCACTATGAGTCAGATCCTAATGGGACTTCAAAGAAGAAAAACAACATTCCCAGGACACTCTGACACCTCTTAGATCCTTTTTATTTTTCACATTTTCTTTTCTGAATACACCACTTGTGTTTGTTCAAATGAGCTCTCAAATGATTCAGAGAACCTGTGCTATGATTCAAAGAGTAAGCAAGACAAATAAGAGAGTTTGGTCAAGAACTCATGGTGTTAGCTTGCTTTAATAGAGGTAACACTGACCTTGATGGATGAAAGAAGTTTCAATTATTTAGGACAGGAAAAAGAGACAATAAAACTCCTCAAATATTCATTTTGGCTACCACTGTTCATAAGTCGAGGACCTCTCATGGCACATTGGTTAAAGTGTTGGCTGCTAACCCAATGGTTGGTGATTTGAACCCATCAGCTGTTCCATGGGAGAAGAGATGTGGCAGTCTGAAGATTTACAGCCTTGGAAACCCTACTCTGTCCGATAGGGCTGCTATGAGTCACAACCAACTTGATGGCAGTGGGTTTGGTTTTGTGTTTTGGTCATAAGTCAGCCTTTTCTAGGGAAAAAACAAACTTTTCTACAGGCATGAAAGAGTTTTTCTAGGAGTGTGGTAATTGATTTGACTGTCTCTTTGGCTATATAGTCAAATCATTTGAATTAAAAAGTCAGTCATAATTTATATCTTGCCCATCTTCCTGCCTTTTCAGTTGATATGCAAAACATTAAATATATATTTTTTTTCTCTCATGTGAAAAAAAAAGCCTTTAATTGAAATTCACAAGAGCTATATCAATAATTGCTAAGTATGTTATGTTATGTTATGTGCCATCGAGTCAGACCCGACTCATAGCGACCCCTCCTTGGGTTTCCGAGGCAGTTTCACTATGGAAGTAGATTGCCCCATCTTCCTTCCGAGGAGTGGCTGGTAGATTTGAACCGCCAGCCTTCTGGTTAGCAGTCAAGTGCCTTAGCCACTATGCTATTACTAAGCAGGAAAGAGGTAAATCCATGTGTCTAAAATGTCAGTCCTTGATATGAGGTCCAGCTGAGGTATGCCTGGATCATGGTGAAGAGAGCAGTGACAGTATACATACATTGTATAAAACTGGGTTCTGGAATTGTTGTTTGGTACTTCTTGTGGGAGACACTATTAATTACCTACTAACAAAGGTAATTTTTTCCTTTCTTGATGCTAACAGAACCCCCAATCAATGAACATAATTAATTTAAGCTAATCATGCTCATTTTATTACTCTTTTCTGGGCTTCCCTACTGCTAACAATGGCATGGGGGGCTCTTGGCCAATAAGATGTAAAGGGAAATCTAATAGGGGAGTTTCTGGAAAAAACTTTTGCTTTCTTGATTTAAAAAAAGAAAGACATGGGCAATACCATCACTTTCTCTTCCTCCTTGCCTTATATGCAGACATGAAGCCTAAAGCTGAAGTACCCATCTTGGACCTGAAGACCAAAACAATGTACAAATACTGAACCTGACCTTGTCAAGGTGGCTGCCTGCCTACAGATTTCTAATTGTATGAGAAAAATATCCCCTTCTAGCTCATATGGTACTGTTACACGTATTTTCTTAGCTGTGAAAATATTGTAGTTCAATAGACAATATTCTTTCTCTTAAGAGATTCATACTCAGGTATTTAGAGATATAGTGCCATGCTGTCTATAACTTACTTTCAATTCCCCCCTCCCCCAAAAAAGTAGATAGATACAGATAAAGCAAACATGTCTATATAGTAGCAATTGATGCATCTGCGTGAAGGGTATGTGGATATATAGGCTTTTAAATTTTTATATGCTTGAAACACTTTAAAATAAAAATTGGTAGAAAAGAGCCCACTCCTTCTTTAAGACATTTTACTTCTCTCAGTTAGAAAATTGTCATAATATACTGATTATATTAGAATAAAACACTGCCAAACATTGTAATAAACATACAAATCACCCATCCTTGGCATCAACAAAGTTAAAGCTGTATGAAGAGAAAGCTCAAAAGAATAAAGCTGCTTAAGATATGAATGGCATCTTCTTATGTGTGTCATACTTGTGCAGGGTACAATTTAAACAACTGGATCCAGCAGACTTGCTAACTTGTTTAAGTTGCTGGTGGCATAGTGCCTTAGACATTTGACTGCAAACCAGAAGGCTGGCAGTTCAAGTCCACCAGCCACTCCTCAAAAGGAAGACTGGGTAATCTACTTCCATAGAGCTACTGCCTTGGAAACCCAAGGAGGAGTCACTATGAGTTGAGATCGACTGTTGTTGTTGTTGTTGTTATGTGCCGTCGAGTCGGCCCCGACTCATAGCGACCCCTCCTTGGGTTTCCGAGGCAGTATCACTACGGAAG